CGCTACAACCTTTCACGCCTGACCAACATCCGCTAAATCTTTTATGAAAGTTTATAGGTGTACTAAACTTACGTCAAAACAAACAGGCGAGTGAAAATCGTGAGCATGAGGTGAATCGCACACAATTTGTCGACCACTCAAATAAGCTTGCAATAGCTGCAGAGATTCCGAGGATCCTTGTTGCGACGCTGCTGTCTCTCAGAAATTTCCTCCTAGCTTCTTACACCTCGGGAGGGCGGGGCTTCACCGCTATGGTCAAAATGCTTTGATGGCTACTCCGGGCCTCAAATTGACAAATAATTTTAATATTCGTGATACTGGAGGCCATATGAAGATGATGCAAGTGTTTTTTAAAGGTACAAAACCGCTTTAGTTTCCCCTTAAGCAGGCACGTGCGAATAACGAATTTTATGTTTCAAGCGAATAAGAAGCTAATAGTGACTTGGGTCGAATAATTTCGAATCGCATATTGAATACTTGCTGTGCCTTTCTGATACTGCCATTGCGCTCAGCTTCCGCCATCTTGACAGTGTTGATGTCAAGATGGCGGAAGGTAGCTTAGCTTAATGGAAGCTAACCTAAGTTAGCTTCCAGTCGTGTGTAACTAGCTTAGCTAGCTATAAACAAGCTGAGCTACATGCTAACTTAGCTTAGCACTCTTACCTTAGTACACATTTTTCAAAACATGATAGTATTTGAGTGATGAATAAGTGTGAACGAGTATGAATAAAAAGTCATTTTAGATATGATATAAAGACTATCATACCTAAAACACCTAATATCAAGGGGCACACAGTAATCCACTGAAATGAGGTTAGACAAGAGTAATTTTGAGTATGTTTTGTTCACATTCTCAAGGATGTGCGTAAATTCTGCAGTTGTTAATCGAAGCAACAAATGAAGCTTGTCATTTAGTTCTCCTTGTCAACAGCATTTTTCCTGTAGAGTAGTGCACAAACTCAGCATGTGAGCAATGATTATACTTTGTAAAGGAAAATCTAGCTGGTTTCATTTAGGTTATTCTCAAGTATCTGCCTACCCACTGCCAAGGCTCAGTTAATTCTGATATAAATTACTGAATGACTCTCGCTTCAAATAAATCAAGCCTTACATAGAGATTGTAAGTAGATGAGAGATTTGTCAGTCCTCTTGCTATACCCAAATATTCGTTTTAAATTTTAGACTAAAGAAATGATGAGCAATGATGCACACTGCTTGACAGGACCTCACTTGTAGAGTAACACATATTCATGGTAAAAGCCAGTTTTTTTTTTTTTTGGCCTTGAGGTAAGCACTCATATTGACCAGGAACATGAACAATCATTACGCTACGTTACAATGTTTTCCTGAATTCGTCGCACACGCGCGTGACCTCTTCTTCTCTGGAGGTGTGCCTTCCACTCAATGCACAATCGCAGTGCCTGCAAAATACGCACGATCATGGTGTTTTCTCTGTAAGTGTCGCTTCTGCACAGCACACCGGTGCTCGTTAAGAAGCGCACTCAACTGCGCTAACTCGCTGCAATCGCGACTTTGCCAGCACTTAGAAACTGTGCACATCACCGAACGAACGGCACGCGGCCAACTCATTGCGAGTCCCAAGGGCAACTGATAAGAGCGCTAGAGCGATCTCGACATCACAGGACACAGGACACACACGATTGGTAGGTGAGATGATGACGTTTTATTCTAGTAGGGCCGGGCCAATCACGGGATGCAGATTAGACCTACCTTCCACTACATTAATGGGACGCTTAGTACCTGGGAATGGTGACTAGAATGACGTCACGTGAGAACTGTGTATAGCCATAGGCCGGGGATGGCAACATGTGCAGCATGTGCTGAGCTGTAAACAATGTTTAATTTTGGCCATTCGTGTGCAGAGATTAGTCATGAGCTGCCCAAATGTTTGCCGAGGCACTTATTGTCACAAACCCAAGTCAAGTGTTCATGCAGTGCTCGTATGGAATCCATAAGCCTCATTCGACCATCATCACCACAGTGTGCTCTCCTAGACACCGTCAGCATAATTACCTCCATGGTCACATCAGCAAGGTTACAAAAATTGGGAGTGAAGGAAACACTCCCCCTCTAAACTTGAATTCACATCTCGACACGTGCAAGATACTGAGGTCAAACTAGTGCTGTATGCCTGCGATGAGAGAATCATTCCAACACAATATCAATAATCTACCCCTTCATACCACACTGCAACTAAGTGAAAAAGGAACCATGACACCAACTTATCATTTAAAAATAAATTGTGTAAAATACAAAAATACTACAGTTACTAACAAGGATATTATATCTGCAAATAATCAACAGGGAGCTTTGAAGCATTTGAGTAGCCTGACAACAAACTTGCCTTCAAGCCGCTGCCCCAGAGTTCTAGACGACGGCAATGGGAAGCTCCCCTCCAGTAGCAAGTCGTAGCCCAAGCTGCCACATGCAGATCGCATCTGCAGCGACTTCTTCACCGTCTCATTAGACCGCTTGGACCCCCTGTTGCTGGATCTCGATAGAGCTGCCAGTTGGTCCGCAGTGAAGAACTTGTGCAAGTGAGACCGGAATGTCGCTTCCTTTGTCTTTTGTAAGGCAGCCTGCCTCACCAAGCGATGATTCTCGTTCTCCAGCTGCTTGATCTTCCGGCTCATCTGAAGAAAGACATCTTCAGTGAGCCTAGGTGAAACAGGTGATGGAGAAAGAGGCTGTAGGGTTCGCTCAGAAGTCTTGGCCGCTGGTTGCCACAAACACGGTACAAGAATTGGGTGTTGCCCACCTCATGAGATCACTCCAAGCAGTGCAAGAACCATGACACACACCCAGCTGGTGGAGGCCGCCCACACCAAGGTGCCGAGGGCAGCTGCGCTGGCCTGGCCGCGCTGGTTGTCACTGGTCACCTGCAGCGAAGGGTGCGGTGGTATTGCTACACGGGGGTACGCAGGACCCTGGAAGATGCTTGCGAAGCACGCCCCGCTGGTGGTGGGGAGCGGCTGCGCTAGCAGGCCGCCCTGCAGGGCCGCTCCAGAGGTCCTGGCTGCTGGTTGCTGCAAACACGGTACGAGAATCGGGTGATTCCCACCTCACAAGATCACTCCAAGCCGTGCAAGAACCACATACCCAGCTGGTGGAGTCTCCGACACCAAGGTGCCGCGGGCAGCTGAGCTGGCCTGGCCGCGCTGGTTGTCACTGGTCACCTGCGGCGAAGAGCGTGGTGGTATTGCTACACGAGGGTACGCAGGACCCTGGAAGATGCTTACGAAGCACGCCCCGCTGGTGGTGGGGAGCGGCTGCGTCAGCAGGCCGACCTGCAGGGTCGCTCCGGAGGTCCTGGCCGCTGGTTGCTGCAAACACGGTACGAGAATCTTGTTTTGCAGAAATATGGGTTCGAGAATAAATGTATTTGCCGCCCTTTCTCTCTTCATGCTGGCCGAGCGGAGAGGGACGAAGGCTTCTTTGTATTTACCTCGGGGTGAAAGATAATCCTCAAGGGCGACAAAAGTGGTTTTGGGGGAGCTCTAAGTCACTGCGACACAATAAGCCAACGGGACGCAGTGGACGTGCCTGCGGCCAGGGAACTCTCGTCTTTTAGCCATGCACTCTCGAACCACTAATTCTGCAAATGGTCCACTGGGTGTTGCCCACCTCACGAGATCACTCCAAGCCATGCAAGAACCATGACAGATACTTAGCTGGTGAGGCTGTCATAACATTACAAGGCAGCTGAGAGTGATGAATGCCTCATGCATTAACTTAATAGAAGCAACAGAATATGAGTTATTGGGTTTTGACTTACATTTCCATGAGGCGGGGTTTTGTGCTGTGTCAGGCTGCAACACTGAATGATGGTGTCTCATGCACTCTTGCACAAGGACCACTCCGATTTAAAAAAAAAAAAAAAGGTCTCTGACATGGAACAGAGATGTCAACAGCCTACCAAGTCCACATTATTATAGGTCACCTGAGCCTCTTTCAAATCATATCAGTAAAAACATCTTAACACAAGATAAATTATTGCTTTTAATTCACTCTCATAATCTAGGTAAACACCAAAAGAACAAAAATCTCACTTATCCTAGTTACACACACTCACTTGACTTTCAGAATGCAGAAACAAGCTCGGAACAGCTGTGGCTTTTAGCCTCCTCCAGCCGTCAGAGCACCTCGTCTGGAATTGAGAGGGCTCGAAGTGGTCCTGCAGCGAATAACGTTTTGGTAGACGTCAAAACTGTGTATTCAGCCGCTCGCGTCACAGTACAGTTATTCCGCTGACGAGAGGCTCACGCTTTCAAAATACGCGATCTTACAAATCCATCATCGCACGACCGCCACAGGCCTGAACCACTCGTCTTTCTGCGGTGAAGCGAAAGCGCACAGGACGCTTCCACGGCAGTAGACAATAGATCACAAAATACACGGTTTTGTCACAGTGCACTCGCGTCCACCGTGCTCGCGTCACAATATTAACAATGAACAATACCTCACCTCGCAAAAGTACGTTCTGTCGGGAGGTTTCCACCCCGCGCCACGCTTGATTCCTGAAAGCCACAGTTTCCGTCTCCTCGGGGATTTCGGCAGCTTGAACAAGCGAATTCCCCTGGAAGCTCTGTTCCGGCACTTCAGAGCACAACAACGACCCATTTTTCAAACAAGACCGGAACGGCGGAACTCCCGCGGTTACACAAACTTTTGTTTACGTTATTTCAACGCACGTGTCCGCGTGCGCATTCGTTTATTCTACCATTAAAGAAGGCTACGACGAAAAGCTCACATGCACCAAGTTTTCAGTCACCAAGCGTTAACTTTTTTAACTCTAGCGACGCTAAAATGAAATTACCGAACCCTGCTTTACTTTTGAGGCTCACGACCACCGCTAGGGGAGGTTTTGCGGCTTGTGATTGGCCACGAGCGGCCTGTCAATCAACTATTCGACCAATAGATTTTCGCCCCATTGATACCAATGAATGGCCAAACTCTCCCAATATACGGCTCTGCCCGACTTTTTTCCTTCTCTTTCCCTCTCCTCCTCGCTCATCCTCCTCCGCTTTCCTTTGTTCCCAGAGGCCGGCCCCAGTGTGGTTTCCGTTGTGCTTGGGAGCAGTCGCGTAGTCGCCCGTGTCCAGCTCCTTCTTTGTTCTTTGTTCCGAAATCGGTCTTCTTCTTCTTCGGACCCCGAACGTCGCCTCACGCTTCCTGCCTTCGTCAAAGGGCCTCCTTTCGTTCGACACATTGGGGTAAGTGTACGTCCATTATACTATCCTTTAATTTCGAGTTTTTGATTATTTGGCAAACGAAAGTGATTTGAGTTTTTCAGCAAAAAAAGAAGAATAATTCGTTTAAAACCAAGTGCTTTTCACACCTATTGGAGAATTTCATTAGCTTTCGGAAAATATATACTTCGATATGCGTAAAAGTATTTCTCGTTGCGTTAGAGAGTGAAGCAGGTGAAGCGGGAATTAAGAATCTCTATCTCCGTTTATTATTACATTTTTTAACTTGTTTTTCTGTGCTCTTGGCGCGCACGTTTCTTTAGCGGCACACGAAATTGTCATCTCACTTCGTTCTCTTCTGTACAGAACAATTAGCAATGTCTGTCGCACGTTGTCACAGGCTCGTCCGGGGTTGGTAAGAGAAGGGTCGGGAGAAAGAAAGTTCTACGAGGCCTAGAGATTCCCCGGCATATGTCGTGACGAGGCTCGTTTCCTGGCTTGTGTAGCCGCTCAGTCCAGGGACGGGGTGGCGTAGATGCTCGTGCCTCCGCTGTTCCCTTCGCACCGTGCGTAGCTCCCGGTTCAGGTGGTCGATACCGGGACACAGCCGGTCAGATCCTCGAAGCGGTTGCCGAACGTCGCGGCTCGTGCTGTAGAAGAGAACGAAGTGCCAGGCATTTTTAGAAAATGTCATATTTCTACCTTTGCATTTGGTGAACCGCGCGCTGAAATCTTTTTTCTAACTCGACTCCGCTTAGAACGCGCACGCCGGGCCACCTAGGGTGCCTTCATGCGCGCTTTGCTTAGGGTGGTGGCATGTCGCCATTTTGTCACACACGTTTATTTTTTTGTTGAGAAGCAGGTGAAAGAGCGTGTCCCTGCACGCGCTTGTGGCGCTGACTGTGCTATGGCGACATTTTGTTTTCGTCGATTTCTTTGTATTTTGCCCGTGAGCGCGTGCTGTCGGCATCTGGTACTACAAAGGGTGGCATCACCCTAAACAGGACATTCAGGCACCCTAGGGCCACCCCTTGCCTGGGCCCCCTGACCCACTTAGCTCTTTGAGACTGTATCCGTTATCTTTCCTTTCTTTGGCGTTGCTTCTTGTCGGGTGCGTTCTTTGTCTGCTTCTATAGACGCTTTGCAGCAGCTGTGAATGGACGCCGCCATAACTGACCTTCAGTTTTTGTTTCCTCGTATTTCGTTTATTTCACGTCATCATTACCATAGCAGGCCAGGTTATTGAAACATTAGATTCAACTGTGTCCTTTTCTAAAGCATCGGCCTTTGTGGAGGATCGTCAACTACCGTTTCAGTTGCTCGGCATCTCGGTAAGACAAGAGAAGGTCAGCCATGGCGGCTGTAATTTGGCGCGTGTGTAAAGCGTCTATACTTTGTTTCACCTTATCTGCGAGCGAAGCCAAAGCTAAAAGCACGAGACCAGCGCTTTTTGCGTTTCTCCCCAGCTCGCGCGCTCGAGCAAAGCCTGAACGCACGGAGCTTTCGTGCTCGCGCTTCCAGCTTTGCCCTCGCTCGCACATAAGGTGAAACGAAGTATAGCTTTGATTTTTATCGGGAGAGTCCGATTTTTAGCGGGAGAGTCCGGAGCGCGCTCGAGCCGCGATTCGATCGTCTAAGATCAGGCAAAAATTAAAAATAAAAACGAACTACTCGCTTCACAAGAATCTTATTATTCTGTGCTCTTAGCGCACACGTTTCGCTAACGGCACACGAAATTAAGAATCTCTATCTACTTTTATTATTACCTTATTTTAACTTAAATCGACCAGCCACCCAGAGCACCCGAAAACTAGTTTGGCTGGTTAGATCGAAATATGAAGAAGAATAATTCCGTTTAAAATCAAATAATTTTTACACCTATTGGACAAGTTCATTAGCTTTCGGAAAATATATACTTCGATATGCGTACAACTATTTTTTCTTGGGTTAGAGAGTGAAGCGGTTGAGTCCGGAAAGCGCGCTCGAGCCGCGATCCGATCGTCTAAGATCAGGCAAAAATTAAAAATAAAAGTGAACTACTACCTTTAGAACAGTCTCTTTTTCTGTGCTCTTAGCGCACACGTTTGTCTAACGGCACACGAAATTAAGAATCTCTATCTACTTTTATTATTACCTTTTTTTAACTTAAATCGACCAGCCACCCAGAGCACCCGAAAACTAGTTTGGCTGGTTAGATCGAAATATGAAGAAGAATAATTCCGTTTAAAATCAAATAATTTTTACACCTATTGGACAAGTTCATTAGTTTTCGGAAAATATATACTTCGATATGCGTACAACTATTTTTTCTTGGGTTAGAGAGTGAAGCGGTTGAGTCCGGAAAGCGCGCTCGAGCCGCGATCCGATCGTCTAAGATCAGGCAAAAATTAAAAATAAAAGTGAACTACTACCTTTAGAACAGTCTCTTTTTCTGTGCTCTTAGGGCACACGTTTGTCTAACGGCACACGAAATTAAGAATCTCTATCTACTTTTATTATTACCTTTTTTTAACTTAAATCGACCAGCCACCCAGAGCACCCGAAAACTAGTTTGGCTGGTTAGATCGAAATATGAAGAAGAATAATTCCGTTTAAAATCAAATAATTTTTACACCTATTGGACAAGTTCATTAGCTTTCGGAAAATATATACTTCGATATGCGTACAACTATTTTTTCTTGGGTTAGAGAGTGAAGCGGTTGAGTCCGGAAAGCGCGCTCGAGCCGCGATCCGATCGTCTAAGATCAGGCAAAAATTAAAAATAAAAGTGAACTACTACCTTTAGAACAGTCTCTTTTTCTGTGCTCTTAGGGCACACGTTTGTCTAACGGCACACGAAATTAAGAATCTCTATCTACTTTTATTATTACCTTTTTTCAACTTAAATCGACCAGCCACCCAGAGCACCCGAAAACTAGTTTGGCTGGTTAGATCGAAATATGAAGAAGAATAATTCCGTTTAAAATCAAATAATTTTTACACCTATTGGACAAGTTCATTAGCTTTCGGAAAATATATACTTCGATATGCGTACAACTATTTGTTCTTGGGTTAGAGAGTGAAGCGGTTGAGTCCGGAAAGCGCGCTCGAGCCGCGATCCGATCGTCTAAGATCAGGCAAAAATTAAAAATAAAAGTGAACTACTACCTTTAGAACAGTCTCTTTTTCTGTGCTCTTAGGGCACACGTTTGTCTAACGGCACACGAAATTAAGAATCTCTATCTACTTTTATTATTACCTTTTTTCAACTTAAATCGACCAGCCACCCAGAGCACCCGAAATCTAGTTTGGCTGGTTAGATCGAAATATGAAGAAGAATAATTCCGTTTAAAATCAAATAATTTTTACACCTATTGGACAAGTTCATTAGCTTTCGGAAAATATATACTTCGATATGCGTACAACTATTTTTTCTTGGGTTAGAGAGTGAAGCGGTTGAGTCCGGAAAGCGCGCTCGAGCCGCGATCCGATCGTCTAAGATCAGGCAAAAATTAAAAATAAAAGTGAACTACTACCTTTAGAACAGTCTCTTTTTCTGTGCTCTTAGGGCACACGTTTGTCTAACGGCACACGAAATTAAGAATCTCTATCTACTTTTATTATTACCTTTTTTTAACTTAAATCGACCAGCCACCCAGAGCACCCGAAAACTAGTTTGGCTGGTTAGATCGAAATATGAAGAAGAATAATTCCGTTTAAAATCAAATAATTTTTACACCTATTGGACAAGTTCATTAGCTTTCGGAAAATATATACTTCGATATGCGTACAACTATTTTTTCTTGGGTTAGAGAGTGAAGCGGTTGAGTCCGGAAAGCGCGCTCGAGCCGCGATCCGATCGTCTAAGATCAGGCAAAAATTAAAAATAAAAGTGAACTACTACCTTTAGAACAGTCTCCTTTTCTGTGCTCTTAGGGCACACGTTTGTCTAACGGCACACGAAATTAAGAATCTCTATCTACTTTTATTATTACCTTTTTTCAACTTAAATCGACCAGCCACCCAGAGCACCCGAAAACTAGTTTGGCTGGTTAAATCGAAATATGAAGAAGAATAATTCCGTTTAAAATCAAATAATTTTTACACCTATTGGACAAGTTCATTAGCTTTCGGAAAATATATACTTCGATATGCGTACAACTATTTTTTCTTGGGTTAGAGAGTGAAGCGGTTGAGTCCGGAAAGCGCGCTCGAGCCGCGATCCGATCGTCTAAGATCAGGCAAAAATTAAAAATAAAAGTGAACTACTACCTTTAGAACAGTCTCTTTTTCTGTGCTCTTAGCGCACACGTTTGTCTAACGGCACACGAAATTAAGAATCTCTATCTACTTTTATTATTACCTTTTTTCAACTTAAAGAAAAAAGGAGCAGTGTGTTTAACCCTCCTGGAAAAGCGAACGCCGGCATCGCGCGTGACGGGCGGCGTGCTTTCAAGTTTTATTTAAACGCGTACAGAAGCTTATTTAATCGCAAACTAAGGCGCTAATTGTTCGCTACCTATCGTCCGAGGCAGGCACTTCTAGCACTGATAAAACGAAGTCAGCCGCTATTCGAACGTCCGATTAAGGATTGCGCAATATTGTTTTGCTCGTATTTCTTAATTTCTTGCTGTAATAGGTTTGGTAGGGTCCAAATACGTTTTTTTTTTATTATCTTGCATCGTAAAATCAGCGTTCGAGCGTGTTGGGTTTTCGCTGGGCGCGCTGATTAATTTCATCGGCGCTTCGGTAATCGAGTTCGGTGCTGTTCGTTTGTAAGTTTCTAAACGCAGACGGTGTTCATTAACGGTGCCGCGAAAGAAGTGTGTGTGTTTGCTAGACGCGGGGAAAGAGCTTTTAAAGCAAAGAATAGCAAAAAGAAAAACGCCCCAGAGTAGCTATTGCACAAAGAGGAGCAGTCCCCGCTGCAAGGCAGGGAAGAAGAGATTAAAGCAGACCGCCAGACAGAGGCTGTCAATCAAGTCGGGCGCCAAGAACGCAGCCGACAAGAAGCCCAAAAAAAAGATACTAGCGTGTCCCGAAGGAGGGAAAGGAGGAGCGGTTTCGGCGGGCGGGCAGCAGCGCCAGGCCAGGCTTTGCTAGTGGCGTGAGCTTTCCCCGAAACTCTGCCGTCTGCTACAGCTCGTTTGTCCCTTGGGCGACCGTTGGAGCCGACTTCTTGCACGAATTCTTTTGTTCTTTTCAGGGGAAACACGGAATTCGGCGGCGCCGAGCTAGGAAGCCGGCCTCTACGAACTCAAACGTTTCATCACTCTCTGACGCACGGAAGAAAAGAAAAAAAGATATGTGTATGGCGTAAGAACGTTCGGTGCATCTTTAATGTAGGGCGCTAAAGATTGTCTTTTTGTGCAGCGCAAGAGCGAGTTGCACGGCTGGCCCTCCGTTTCAAGTGACCTCCTTCAGCTGCGGATGACCTGTGCTTAATCAAGACCGCTTGAATGGCAACTGAGAACTTGCTCCAAGCAAAAAGTGTTTTTATGAAATCGTGTTAGCTCGTGCGAATTCACTGAATAGGAACAAGTGTGTTTTCATCGAGACAGCTCGTCCGGAAACTTGCATTGTCGGCCTAATAAAGTTTGACGTCAAGCCTAATAAAACGTGAGGTTAAAACGGAGAAATCTGTTGTTTTGTGTTTTGCTGGTGAGGACGAAGCCCCTGCTGTGCACACCTGCGGAAACGAAGTAAGTCCCTTATCAGTTTGTTCAGAGATTTGATTTTTTCCCGTGGTAATCGTGAAAAAAAAAAAAAAAAAAAAAAAGCGCGAGGACATAAATTCTTCTTTCTTATGTTTGAGCTTATTGCAAGACGCTATGAGCGGCGTTCTGTTATATCTATACATAGCCTTTGAACTTGTGTTTTTTCTTCTTTCTTTTTGTGATCTCCAGTGTACCAGATTTGTCGGTTTACTGTTATTTTTTTGTTCCTTCTCGTCGCACCCTGCTTGGGGATTGGAAATGGCCTGCAGTGTAAATGAACAAAAACCAAATATAAAAAAAAAGAATTTAAATACTTCCCGACGCCATAGGGTCTTGATCTGCTTACAAATGCATTTAAATACTCTTTTTCCCAGAACCATAACAGAATGAAACAGCCTACCTCATCGCAGATTTGTATCTGACAATGTTTTGCAGTCGATGGAGCGTTTGTTTGATGTGTAACCCTTTGCATGGTGTTTTAATTTTTCTCTTGCCCACTACTGCCATTCCTCCCAACTTTGTTGTGAGCTATTACATTACAATTTTCCCCTGTTCCGCTCTCCCATTTTACGGATTACCTGGTGTTGCGTTTTTAATATAATATAACAATCTGAGGTTAAACGGACAAAGAGGCCCCTGCTGTGCACACCTGCGGAAACGAAGTAAGTACCTTATCAGTGTTATTCAGAAATTTGATTGTTTCCAATGGTAATCGTGAAAAAAAAAAAAAAGAAATGTGTTTTTTTATGTGTGTGCTCGCCCAAAAGCGAGCACATACATTCTTTTAATGTTCTCTGTTGCGCTTATTGCAAGACGCTGTCAGCGGCGTTGTATTATCTATACAGCCTTTGAACTTGCGTTTTCTCTTCTTTTTTTGTATCTCTGTACTTTGTATTCAAGTATATCAATCCACAAGTGCTAGCTGGGTCATTTATTTTAACCAGGCGAGTGGGATGTTCCGAGGAACATTATAGGCGCGTCTCATCGATGTAGCTAATCTAATAAGAAAGTGTTGATTAAAAAGTTTACGTGTAAGGCTTCATTCTGTGGTGTTGTGATTTGGCATATCCTCGTATAAAGAAAACTACGATAGTTGGAAGGTTCTAATTCGCAGCGAATGATCGCGCTCTGAATTTAGACGCACTTAAATTTTCATCGCTCCAGCTCGTCTAGAACTCGTTATACTCGCGAAAACAGGTTTTTGGGACTCTGCTTGGAGATTAAGAACCCCGACCAAGTTCAATCGTTCACCCGTGAATATTCAAGACCGCTGGAGTGCATTCATCGATCGTGGTCGTGAAAACAACATCGTAGGAAAATGTGTGTGCAGTGAAACCGTGTCAGCTCATCTCAATCGAGACTTTTCGATCAACAGGGACGGTCTCCCGAGCACGAGTGGATTGATATTCTTCAAAGAGCTGCCGCCCCCGCTCGTAATTAGAAAACAATTATAGGTACAACTATCAAATTGTTGGGGAAGGGTCTCGCACCAGGTAGGACTGTTTGTGTGTCAAATTTCTTCGAGATAGCAAACGCAAAAGTTGTTTTATCGACCTATTAAAACCGCTCGGAGAACTCGGCTGATTTCTGGTGTTTTTTCTGTTTTTTTTTTGTTTTTTTTTGCGTGTTTTTTTTGTAGTGTTAATTCTAAAAGAGAGATGCCGTAAATATCGCCCAATACCTCAACAAAAAACAAAAGTCCGAAGAAAAAAAAAAAAAACTCTCTCGGGGGATTGAACTAAGATCCTGCTGTGTACGAAGCGCACATCTTACCCACTGAGCTAATCCACAGCTGGGAATAGGCGTGTTTACAATCCGTTTTATACGAGACCCAATAGGCGACTACTGCCGGCACTTGTTCCCCCCCCCCCCCCGGTTATTCTGCCGGCTGCCGGCAGAATAGACACTTCCTTCATTAATACTGGTCGTATCTCATCGCCGCTAGCACCGATGTGTTCCTTGTTCTGTCTAGACTCTATGGACACCACTTTGAACGAGTGAAATAAAAGCTTTCGCGAAGCTACGACGCTTTTACCGTGGGCATGGTCATGGCGGCCAATTCTTATTTCCGAACCTGTGTTCGGACCTCCGAGGCTGAATTTTCGTTTCCGAGCCGCGATGTTGGTGTCAAACGTGAGCACGCGTTCCGTAGAAGACCCGACGACTGTAGTTTGCCTCGGATCGAGTCGATAGATTACTGTACGAGCACTGATGCGACTTCCCGCACGAAAGCAGTCATTTTCAGGTTCGATATTGCTCACCGCTTCATCATTTGCTACCACAATTTGCTTTTTTGTTCTGAAGCGCTCCCTCGGGTAAAAGGAACGTTCGCTATGCGCGCGAGATTATTTTAATTCATTCATCTGGTGCGGCGCGCGCTCGGCGGAGCGGCTGGTCGTTTGAAGGCTCACCAGAGCGCGAGCAAGACTTCGAAGAGCTGCCGCTCGCTCGTAATTAGAAAACCATTATAGGTACGTACAACTATCAAATTGTTGGGGAAGGGACAAATACACATATGTGCTGCAAGAGGGCCTCCACACAACCCTACAGAGCTTTTTGTAGACATGCCCCTACAGTACAACTGGCCCGACACTTTCTATTTTGTCCCCTTCTGCACTTTCTGGCGCAAGATGAGCTAAAGTGAAGCACGAGTAACCTTCTAGGTTGCTATCTGTTCAGTTTGAACCCTCAAGCTACGTCCCTTTTCCCTCGACGGCCAAAATTTGAACGCAGGCATGGTTACTGCGGAATACAAAAAGTCTGCCTTTTGTCTCCGAGGGACGTTCATTCTGTGTTATGGTCGTCTTTTCCAGAGACGGTGAGGACAAATACACATCTGTGCTGCAAGAGGGCCTCCACACAACCCTACAGAGCTTTTTGTAGACATGCCCCTACAGTACAACTGGCCCGACACTTTCTATTTTGTCCCCTTCTGCACTTTCTGGCGCAAGATGAGCTAAAGTGAAGCACGAGTAACCTTCTAGCTTGCTACCTGTTCAGTTTGAACCCTCAAGCTACGTCCCTTTTCCCTTGACGGCCAAAATTTGAACGCAGGCATGGTTACTGCGGAATATCAAAAGTCTGCCTTTTGTCTCCGAGGGACGTCCACTTTGCACAGCCAGGATAACGCTGTCCGCAGTCGTGCTGGGACGTCCTTGCTGCGGCTTGGCCGACACATTTGTTTTCTCGGCTTCCGTACTTTCCCACGTCGGCTTGTTTCAAGTCCAGCTACAGCATTCTTGTCGAATGGTACCTGTGAGTTCTGAAGGCTTGATGTCGACCTGTATTCTCTGCACAGCCCCCTACGGGGTTCTGCAGAAAGCCCCGTCTTAGTAAATCACGTAGGTTTTCAATGAAGTGTGTCTCCACATCTTACGGGGGTGGGCAAGCAACACCGAGGACACAGTCTTCTTGTCTGCAGTGCCTCTTTATTCTCAGACACTTCAAAACCCCACGCCCCTGTTCAAAGGCTCGAAAAATCAGGACTACCTTCAGCTTTTGCGTTCGTACATAAACTTTGACACCAGCTCTGTTAACCAACCTGGGCTCGTTCATTACAGGAGGAAAGCAAGCACTCGTATCAAAAATGAATCGTCGCTCTAGCACTCTTCGTCCCATCGTCCCATCTCCATGAATCGTCCCATCTCCATGACTTGCACGGCCTGTAAATTACTAGAACATATCATAACCAAACAACTCGTTTCTTTCTCAGAAATGCATAACGTTCTAAACCCCAACCAACATGGTTTCCGCAGTGGCCTGTCAACGGTAACCCAGTTGATTGAATTTCACCATGAATTAGCCACTTACGTTAACAACCGTACGCAGGTTGATGCAGTTTTCATCGACCTGTCGAAGGCATTCGACCGGGTACCTCACCGCAGACTGATTAAGACATTAATAGATCTCGGAGTTCCCTTTTCTTTGACTAAGTGGATCAACGCATATCTTTCAAACCGTCAACAATTTGTGGATATAAATGGTACTTACTCAGGGCTGTTAGATGTTCATTCTGGGGTGCCCCAAGGTTCTGTCTTAGGGCCCCTACTTTTTTTAACTTACGTTAACAGTTTGTTCCCATCCAATGAAGATGTCCCAATTAAGCTAAGAATGTTTGCCGACAACTGCGTCATTTACAGTCCCGTTGTTGAAATACAAGACCAGATAAAAGTGAGTAAAGCACTGGCTAACATTCCGTCTTGGTGTCGTGAAAATAACATGAAGATTAATATTAGCGAAACTCAGTACATGCACATAACAACAAAAAGAACTGTCTTAAACTTTAGCTATGAGGTTGCTGGCGTAGTATTGACTGAAGTGGATAGTTACAAATATTTAGGAGTGATTTTGTCTTCTGACCTCGGGTGGAAAAGGCATGTGGAGTATGTTAAAAAGCGGGCAACTAACAAATTGTGGTACCTGAAGAGAACGCTGGGTAAAACTCCCCCTTCCGTTAAAATTCTTGCGCACAAGACAATTACTAGACCTGTGTTAGAATACGCGTCTGCAGTGTGGAGCCCATGGCAGAGCTCTCTGGTCAGAGAACTCGAAGATATTCAGTCGCTAGCTGTGCGTATAGTTTTTTCAGATTTCAGACGAACTACGTCTGTGACCGAACTTGAAAGGAGAGCCAATATAAGCCCTCTGTCAAACAGAAGAGAGAGCCAACGGTTGAAGCTGTTCTTTCAGATTTTCAAGAACTGTATAAAAATTGATGGCTCCGTTTACTTAAAACCAAAAAGTTTTTACTCGGAACGCTTGCATCACTCAAAGACCGTAGCCCCCTATTAAAGCTTGAATAAATAGCTATAAACAATCTTTTTTTTGTGCATACAATTGATTTGTGGAACAGCCTTCCCGGGGATGTTGTCGATATTGATTCACTCTGTTCTTTCGAAAAAGCCGTAGATAATATTTTTCAG